TGATAATAGCACTTATCTGTCTGATGTAGACGCAACATAGTTTAAAAGAAGACTGATTCCTAAAAAGAAAAAGTTAAAATTCAGAAACATTATGGAGGTTAATGGGCTTGTCATTAAAAGAAGGCCCAAGTACAAATTGAGAAAGGTGGGTCGGGATTTGGTGTCTGTCTCTTTGGGCTATGAAGATCCAATTGAAGATTTCACTCAACCATCATTTGTTCCTCTGAATCCTTTGGCTCAGGGTGTTTCTATTTCTAAAAATATCTTATTGAGGATAAAAGATAAGAATCCTATCTCAGATGGAGGGGAGATGCGGTGTGAATATATTTCAGATTTAGATGTTCAATTGTGCAACACTAAATTTATGGAGAATATGGAGTCTAATGTAGGATCCAAAGTGTGGAAGGTGATATCAAAATTAGGAGTGCGGGATAAAGAAGGTTTTAAGGACTATTCTACTCAAATTGCAGATCTAGTGGCTATAGACAGAGAATTTAGAAGTGGGAAGAAGGTGAAATCAAATGATGATCGATGATTGTGGGATCACTCAATATTAGAGGGGGAGGCAATGCTTCCAAAAGGAAGAGAATTAGTTGTTTAATCAAATCGACAAAGGCAGGTTGTCATACCCCAAATTTTACCCTTAAGATTAGTAGGTTTATTTCACATTTCATTTCATCTCATTCTGCATTGCATTGTAACTAATTGCTAACCCGTTTGCTCAGTCTGTTTGGTTTTGCAGGAAAATCACACTGTGTGCAGTTTAATTGGTGAAGGGAAAAATGGTCCTTAATTCACAGTTTGTTGGTGATTAGCTGAGTGTCATCAAGAATCCCTCGAACAATTAGGATTCCCATATCCGATCATGTGGCTTAGTTGAGGATGAGCTGAATTTTATGACGGTTTTGACGTCAGATTTATCGTAACACGATACCGTTTATTCAAGAGCCGAGATTTAGTCTTCGGTTGGATTTCAAAATTTTTGTTTGATTCTAAAACCATATGGGGCTGAGTGTGTTGAGATAGCAGTGGATTCGGGTTTAAATCGGTGCGAGAATTGGCTTTGCGAAATTTATTTTAACAGATGCATGTTTTCCTGCTTTTTGCTAGTCAACGGTCGGGTTTTAAAGGAACAGTGGAATTTCGGTGCGCATTGAATTTATAATGAATATTTGTTTGTTTTGGGTCATAACTATTAGTTGAGCTGATTCAAGTTATCGAGTTGAAGCAGTCAAAATGCATTTTGAATTTTCAATACAAAAGACAGTTCGTTCTGCCGTTTAACTGAAATTTTGCTGCTTATCTGTTCAAGGCTATGTTCACTGACTTTATCATCAGGGATGAATTAATTTGCAAAGGGATTAGTTGAGCTTAGCAGTTACGGAGGATTTAAATTGGGCAAGTTGATCAATTGTCAAAATTTGGAGGTTGGAACGTCACAATTTAATCGGACAGTTTTCATTAATTAAATTTGATTCACTGAGTTTATTTGATGAATTCAATCAGACGGGTTCTAACCAGATGAAGTCAGTCAGATTGATTTATTTGGATGGGTCTAACCGAATAAATTTAGTCGGGAAAATTGAAACAGATGAATTTATTATGGATGCAAGCATTTGGACTTGGTTGGACGAATTTATTTGTATGAACTAATATGGAGGAATTTAATCAGATAAGTTCAATTAAATGGATTTATTTGGGTTGAATTTAATCGGATGGATCATCGGTTGAATTTAATCTAATAAATTTAGTCGGATGAGTTTACTCGTTTGAGTTTAATCGGGAGAATTATTTAGAGATTTTAATCGGATGATTTTTAATCGGAGAAATTGGATTAGAAAAATAAAGAATTGAATTTATTATTTGAATTCTATTTTTTATTACAAAAGAAGTTACAATATTACAAGTTAATCTCAATTACAAAATAAATTCTAAACTCCTAAACTATCCTTCGAGGCCGATTTCCGATTCTTTTTTCTGAACATGCAAAATAAATCAGGAACAGAGCAGAAACTTTGAATGGTTAGAAAAGCGGTTTTTTGTTGGTTCTGATACCCTCAGTTAATTGTCATCATCGAGTACGTCGAGAGGGAAACGACAAAGTCGAAGCCGGATCCCAACTTAGTTTCTGACCTCGGCACAAGACCGACAATAATTTGTTCAATTTATACCGAGAGAGAGAGAGAGAGAGAGATAAAAAGTGTTTTTCGAAAAAGTGATTTTGGAAAAGTGCTTTCGGGAAAAAACACTTTTCGGAAAAATGTTTTTTTTGCCAAACAGGTCGCTAACAGTATTTTCCAAAAGGTTCTGACCCATACGGATCAAACAAACACCATGCAACAACATTTCCAGCAAGATCCAGACGCAACAACAAAGCCAAGTTAGCATCCATGAAAATAACCGTGAGAAACGCAACAAACTGCTCAACAATAACCAAAACGAATCCAACCGCGTCTCCTGGAAAAAAATCAGCAAATAAACCGTTAAATTTGCAAACTTATCAACAACAAATTCAGCAAAAAATTGTGGATCCAAACCCAAATTACGAACTATATAAGTTCATCCTCAAAGTTCATCAAAGGGGACCGAAAAGAAGGAGGAAAATCCATCAGTAAACACCCAAAACAGACGAAACCCACAAGCCTCCGTTCTCCATCATCGGCCGTGAACAAAGAACCGTGAAGAACACCCACGGCAACTGGCAACTCAATCAACACCGTCCATCATCGGACCCACGGTCAAAAGAAAACCGCAAAGCCTTACCAATCGAATCTGGGGTAAAAATCACCATTTTTTATTCATGTTCTTGTAACCGGTACAGGAAGAAGAAGACTGAACAAAGTGGAAAAGAAGAGCCATGGAAGAGAACAGCAAAACGCGGGCAGAACCCCAGGAGAAGGGTCTGTTGCCGCATGCAAAAGGGAAGAGGGCTAACCCTAACAACTGCCAATTTTGACCCTTTCCATTTTTATATATTTCACTTCTTTTTGTTTTATGACCTTTCAGTTTTATTAGGTTAATCCATTAATTCATTAATTTTGTTTAAACAATATTAATTCCTTGTACTTTTTTTAATTAAAAAAAAAAACAGTTTAAAAAAAAAGGATGTAAGTAATTAACAGTTTTAACGTCTAAATATTTTAAGGAAATAATAGTCTAATAGTTTAAAGGATGAATTGGAAGTTCAATTTAAAATTGAATTTTTTTTTTAAATTTAACACTTTTTAAAAATAAATTCTAACCTAAAAAAAATAAATTAAACTTAACACCATAAAAAATAACATTTTAAAACTTTTTTTAAAAAAATAAACCCAAACTCCTATTATTAATTAAATTTTAAATTAAAAACTTTTTAAGAAATTACCCACTTTTTTTGAATAGTTTTCCAAAATACTTTAACTAAGATCAATCTCCTATTTTTTTAAATCAAAAATAACTTTGTCTTTAAAATTAAAAATCCATTTTTGTAAATAAACTAATCCTAAAAGTTTGTAATCATTATTAAAATTTTAAAACATAAAATAAAAATCATTATTAACATTTTAAAACATAAAATAAAAATCATTTTCAAAAGCTCTTTCTTATAGTATGTTAACCTAAAACCTAGTATTTCACTCTTAATTTCTAGCTTCTAACCAAAAAATTCAAAAATAAAGTTTCTAACATTGTTTTCTTATTTGTACTTGGGTTGCTAGCTTCCTATTTTTATTTTTTTTGTTGTAATTATTTCCCATGGTTGTAACTTTAAGCGAGGATATCGTCACGTTTCAATTCCGCCCTTTAGCTTTCCGTATCTCATCTTGCATGGTTGTAATTTACGCCAGACAATCGTCACTGTTGTTTTTAATTCCGTCATTATTCTTACGCTTTTCCATATTTCAATCCCGTTGCTTAATTATTTCTCATTACATTATTTACCGTAATCTTCCTTCCGCGGGATTAGGTCTAGCCGTTTGACCGCCGTGTCAATAGTCCTCACCTTTGACCATTTCAAACCCTAATTGCCTATGCGTCCCGCCGTGGACTAAAATACCCTTTACCCTAGCATTAGGTTAAGGAGTCGCCACACTCTATTTTAGGTTTCCCGCCGTGGAATGCCTATCTTGCCCTTTAATTCAATTCAACTTTTCAACGTAGAAATAGGAGTCTCCGAACTCCACGTAAGCGCTTCCTTAAGAACACTTATTCCCCATTGAAACCTTAGTCACAATCAAGAAGTTTCTAACCTCCCTTTCGAGGGGAAATATGATTACTCTGATTCCATCCCCTACCCAGGATACGTAGGCACAAGATGCAAATCTTGGCGAGTAAACTTAGGACTAACCCTTAAGTCTTTCTTTTCATGTTATAACCCTTAGCATATACCCTTAAGCAGATAATTAAAGCAAAATAGTAAACTTTAAACAAAATGTTCCTGTAGAGTACTACAGAAGGTTAGGGTGCTAATACCTTCCCTAAGCTTAACCAACCCCTTACCTAGATCTCCCCCCGCATTGTGTTTATGATGCAAAATTAGGTTTTCCTTCCTTTGACCTTTCCTTCGGATAAATCAAAGACCGGTTGTGAACAAAGATGTGATTCAAATTAATTAATAATTTGATATCACATTCTAACCGCAACACAGATATCTTCTTCATTCAAGAATCAAAATTAGTAGTAGTAGATGTTAGTGTTGTTTCAAACTTCTGAAGGCATAGTGAGGTGGGATGGTATTATAGCAAATCTTGTGGTTTTTCTGAAGGTATTATCTCTATGTGGAATGAGAGATTTTGCAGTCCAATTTTTTTGTTTAGTATGTAGTTAAAACCTATTATGGGTTTTCTCTTAGTGCTAAACACAAATTGTGGAAGGATTTGGAGGTTTGCAAGACGAAATGGAATGGTGGTTTTTGGTTGATAGATAGAGACTTTAATGCTACAACAGTAGCCTCTGAAAGAAAGGGAGTTTCTCGTGATAGCAAGAATCTGGAGATCAAAGCTTTTTCTGAATTTGTGGATAGGATGGATCTTATTGATCCCTCGGTTTTTGGTAATCGTTTCACGTGGTTTAGTGGTGATGGTAAATCAATGAGTAGAATCGACAGATTTCTTGTGGATTCGGCTTTTATTAACAGATGGGGTATGATAGGGCAATCGATTGGGAAGCGAGATATCTCCGAGCATTGCCCTATTTGGATGAAGATCGAGGAAAGGAATTGGGGTCCTAAACTGTTTAAAACTAAAAACTCTTGGTTTGATCACCCTCATTTTATCAAATTTTTCGAAGAAAACTGGAGGAGTTATGACGTTGTTGGGAGAAGTGATTTTATGCTTAAAGAGAAATTTAAGATGCTTAGAGGAGATTTAAAAATTTGGAGTAAAGAGGTGTTTGGGTGGTATGATTTAAAGGTGAAGGAGGAGGTGGATATTATCAACAAGGTGGAGATGGAATTGATTGAGGCTGCAGTCAAAGACGTGGAAGGTTTAGTGGCGAGAAGATCTGAAGCTTGCAAAGTTGTTTGGCATAATTTGCACGTCAAAGACAACTTAATCATCTAGAAATCACAAGTCAAATGGAACAAGGAGGGATACATTAACACTAGGCTCTTCCATAATATGGTGAAGGATAGAGCTCTCAGCAAATTTATTGGGTCGATTAATTCTTCTGCAGAAAATGTCGATTTAGTGGATGGTGTCAAAAATACTGTCAGAGAACTTTTCTGCAGGAAATTCTCTGAAACTAATTTTGATAGGCCAGTTCTTGAAGATTTATCTTTCAACAGGTTAGTTGTAGCAGAGGTGCATTTTTTAGAAGATCAGTTTTTGGACGAAGAAATCCGTCAGGCAGTGTGGAGTTTTGACGGAACGAAGAGTACAAATCTGGATGGATTTAATTTCGTTTTTCTGAAGAAATGCTGGCACATTTTGAAGTCTAATATCTATTACTTTTTCAAATACTTTCATCGTCATGGCAGCTTACCTAAGGCAGTGAGTTCAACTTTCTTGGTTTTAGTTCCAAAAATTTCTAATCTGTTAAACCTTAGCAACATCCTTACACAAGTCACAAAAAGAAGACTTAGAAAAAAAAACTGAGACACAGACAGGATGTCAGAACATCTCATCCAACATCCTTGCAAAACAATTGCAAGAATAGACTCAAACTCTAACCAGAGATTAGTTATGTATTGTAAGGTGCAACACACAACTAGGACAAACACACAACCTATCTCCCCTTTTTAGCCAAAAATTGACAAAGATGCCCAACACAGGTCCATACCCACACGGTACTTACCCAAACCCGAAAAAAAGTTATGAATACTCGACACATTAAAGGAAACACAACCTGAAATAAATGAAGCTAAGACCCCTTTTAAATACCCAAGCAGTTTCTCTAGGAATTTACGTTCCATAGAAGTTACCGAAGAACAATTCAATGAGGATATAAATTTAGGCAGATAACTTCATCATAAATGATTGTGCACCGCCCAAATCAGATTTGACTGTTTCAACTTTATGGAGAATCGTCCAAGGAATGCGCATGTACCAAGACACATGTTTCACATGCTTTCTTTAGAGCAGGCTCTCCACCGTCCAAATAGAGCTAATTTGAAACAACCACAAGTCCTAAACAATGTCCTAACATCTAGTCAGACTTTGTCTAGTCTCTCTCTTTCCCATTTTAAAGCATAGTCAAATGCTTACCAATTAACTCCACACATACTCCTTTCATCCAAAATTAGAAGGTTCTAATCATGATGTCCAAACAGTATGTGTGACATCTCCCATTTATTAACAGAAGCTTCCATGGACCTTATTCCAAACTGCAGAGAAAAATAAATTCTCCCAGACAATATCCAATCTTGTTTATCAGGTCTCTTCTAAGAGACATTGACATAGTTGAATTACTTCAAAACCTTAATATGTCAAGCTCACAAGCAGAACTTATTACGCTAAATCACCAACACACAATGATGTTAAGACATCTAGTCGGACATCACTATCTCACATGATTCAGATGAACACCTTCATGCTCATGAGAGAAAGAAACAAAACAGGAGCACCAATTTTGTACCATAACCAATAGACTCTTGGATTGAGATCAACAATCATCATTGATCACTCTCCCCCTGAACACATCCACACACTATACAAGTCCATCTTGAACCTTACAACCACAGACAACCTTGTTCTTGAGAGTAAATCCAATCAAACCTGGAATGTTCACATCCCTAACGAGACATACACATTCTCTTAACCCCTTGGTTAATCAAGATATCATCCACACATAGAAGTCATCAAAATCCTTCACCAAGTGAATAAGAAAACCTCCTCATCCTGCTTCCTTCTCAAGATTCAGTCTTCCAGCACAACTAACCATTTCTGATCCAACTGGTGAGTACCAAAAGCTTTCCTTTCCAAAGAGATCGTCAACTGAAATGATGTTTCAAACACTAGTTGATACATCATCCTTAATCAAAGAATAGATTTTTTTAGGTACTGAAGTCAACATCCATAGGAATAATTCTTTGCATGGTAACCCAGACACTTCTTTATGCAATGAACACATGAGGATTCCAATAGAACACAACTGCAGCAACTCATAGATCATCATAGAAGGCATAATACCACAAAGAGAAATAAACTCTCATAAGCCTCATGAAGCTTCAACCTAGAAGCTTAATGTTCAGACATCCTATCTGACATTACAAAATCAGCACCCGTCCTTAAGCATCCAAAGAGGAGAATCCCTTTGACAGATACCAATATGACTGGAAATAACCATGAAGGTATAGATTGAGCATCATACCAAAAACAGACTTCTCTACGAGATTTGTCTCAATTTTCTATCCTTCACTTTGCACAATACACCACAAGCCAAAGTACATTAGTGCTAGCAAGATCTAATGATTCAATAGCCGATGACATCATAAACCTAAGCTTAAGTAGGTAGTTCTTTGAAGCACACTTAAATAACACTTTCCTTCAAGGTAACCAATCATAATATCTTTCACAAGGTCCTTGATCATGTGGGAACAACAAAACTTGAGCTTCTAGTACTAACACCCCCTTACCCCAGACAGAACTCTGTAACGCTCATATTATACATCTTAGATGAGAATCCAAGAAGAAGATATAAAAACACCAAGCAATCAACAACCCCTTGAGCTTTATCCATTGCATGATTCACAAAGTTTGAGATAGACATTAGCACCACCCATTCTGATGTTTAGAACAATGTCAGAACATTTTATTTACATCAATGACTTAACTAGCCAACTGATGAGACCACGTATCCCTTAGACTTCCCTTGAATGTCTTTTCCATCATAACAGAACAAGATTTCCATGTTCTCATATACTTGATCATGATATCAAGTTTGAGTAAAAAACCTTCATCCTGTACATATAAATGGAAAACAACTAGTCCTTTTCAAGATGACTCAAGAGAAGGAACAAATACCTTGATGACAGTCTGCCTCAAGCACAATTCTCTAAGGAAATGATCCACATACGATCAGATTCCCCACCAGACTCAAACCAAAAGAAGAGGTAGTCACAACTATCAACAAGATCACTCATATTCAACTTTGAAAGATAGAAAAGTCTTCAAGATGTCAGAGAGAATGTCTTAGACATGTTTCCTTGACATCCATGTGCACAGAAATTGGTTGAGATGTCTTCACAATCCTTCAACATAAAGTACGTCACAAGATCCTTCAATGGAGTACCAGAAGTCTAGCTCCAGATCAGAAATAAACTGGCCTAAAGAAACATCACTAAGGTTGATGGTTTCTTGATCTTCATCTTCATCAGCATACATATACAAGATAAAACTCTTGGATAGAGGCTTCCTAGGTACAGACCAAAAGACTCTTCAAGAACACATGATGTATTCCTCCATTATCTAAGAAGTTCACTCCTTAGATCCACAAGGTTCTGCACATACTCTTCAGAAGTGATGTTTTAACATCTGGTTGAATATCAGGTCCTTTTCCCATGAACAAGTAATTGGATCTTGAGAACTTGCACTGTCTGGAGTTGCACCTTCATAAGTGACACTCAATCAACAACCTAGAGATAATTCTTCAAGGCATAAATATTCCTTAGAATACCATCATTTCTTCTGAACGCATTCGGTAGTGCCTTTATGAGTGGACTTGAGAGAGGACTCAAGCATCTTGGGCTACCCTTCATGGTACCTGGTTGACCCTCGTCTTCCAAGTAGCATAGGACAATCCTTTAGAGGAAGACATCACAATTCTCTCTCCTTTACACCATTTCCAGCTAGTGATGGAAAGAACATCGCTAGAGGCTGACACCATCTTCAATAAGAGCCAGGTAAGATGTCAAGACATCTTATAAGACACCATGAGTAACATTAACATCATTATCAGCAGCAGCGAAAGAAACTTCACAGAGCACTTAGTCAACCGACAATAGTTGTTAGGCCAGATTCAGAGAGCTATTCTCCTAGCTTCCAATCTTCCTCAATCACAATAATAATGGATGGCCTGATCACATAGTCTCCTTCCTTGTTCAAAAGACCAAAAAGCATCTTCCCTAGAACTTATCCAAAAATAGAACAAGATTCCTACTCTGATATCAACTGAAATTCTGGTGTGCAGATAACAGATGTCCCAAGAGATGTCGAGACATTGATCTCTGCATAACTAAACAAGGCCAAAAACAAGAACATCCAAATACTGCAAATACATTACAATGTCATGACTGATGTTTCAACATATATTAAGACATATATTTTAGAACATAAGAGCAGGCTGAATTTAACATAATGGAAAGATAAAGAACACCAAGATACAATGACCCAGTTCAGTGAACAACAACACCTATATCTGGAGGCTACCAAGCCAGGAATGAATCCACTATTAGTAGTATTAACTTGGAGCTAAACTCCTCCGTTTATAACTCTTCACTTAATCCCTACCCAGTGCAACTTCTACCTAGAAATTACCATTTAGGTAAGAGAAACCCATCTCAATTCCTAAATCACCTCAGTGATATCTAACAGTCACAACCTCTAGTGACTGTATCAAATTGTTCAATTAAAAGACACTGCTTCCAATACAATATTCAGTCAAGACTCTTAACTAACATTAATACTTGGATTTACTTAAAAGCTTCATCCAAGAACAATATACAATCCATTACCTACAAGTTACTGAATGTGTAAAACTATATCTACCATAATGTATCAACTGATACAGAGAGTGACTTATGAAACAAGAAATCCATGACTCTCAAAATCCTAAACCCTTATAATTACTTTACAAGAATTTGTTACAAGGTCTACTATCTTTTTATGCCCTAGGTCTTGGTCTTCCTTTTATAGCCTTCAGCAGTTCATGGGCTTCAAAGTCTCTATCCAATCTTTCCTTGATCCACATTTTGATTGCACCTTAAATCTTGGAACAGATCTGTAACAAATCTGCTGCACCAGACCAAGATGTCGAGTCCACAATGCTAGGGTATATTGTCAGACATGTTGTTCTTTACAAATTTCTTCTTGTTGGAATATCTTGTGCAACATCATGTTTTACC